TCAGTATATATATCCTTATAGGTATATCTCTCAGAGTATATATGCTAGAGGTTTACATCTTAGTGTATAAACATAGTTTACTTTGATCACTGTTTTAAGTATCAAAGGATTCCTGTCTGGAGGTGAAGGGGCGATGTGCAGCCTTAATGACCCTCGTGTAGTAGACACTTTAATTAAACCCCATTAACCAACCACAATCTTAATGATTATGTTGTTAATAAACGGGACTCGAACACCCGTCAGGGTATCATAACGAGACTGATCCCCCTCCTGGCTATCAACGAGTATTGAACCCTAGCCAGGGTATCAACTAGTCTTGAACCCTAGCCAGGGTATCAACTAGTCTTGAACCCTAGCCAGGGTATCAACTAGTCTTGAACCCTAGCCAGGGTATCAACTAGTCTTGAACCCTAGCCAGGGTATCAACTAGTCTTGAACCCTAGCCAGGTTATCAACTAGTCTTGAACCCTAGCCAGGGTATCAACGAATCTTGAACCCTAGCCAGGGTATCAACGAGTCTTGAACCCTAGCCAGGGTATCAACGAGTCTTGAACCCTAGCCAGGGTATCAACGAGTCTTGAACCCTAGCCAGGGTATCAACGAGTCTTGAACCCTGGCCATGGTATCAACTAGTCTTGAACCCTAGCCAGGGTATCAACTAGTCTTGAACCCTAGCCAGAGTATCAACGAGTCTTGAACCCTAGCCTGGGTATCAACTAGTCTTGAACCCTAGCCAGGGTATCAACGAGTCTTGAACCCTAGCCTAGGTATCAACTAGTCTTGAACCCTAGTCAGGGTATCAACGAGTCTTGAACCCTAGCCTGGGCATGAACTAGTCTTGAACCTTAGCCAGGGTATTAACGAGTCTTGAACCCTAGCCTGGGTATCTAGTCTTGAACCCTAGCCAGGGTATCAACGAGTCTTGAACCCTAGCTTGGGTATCAACTAGTCTTGAGCCCTAGCCTGCGTATCAACTAGTCTTGAACCCTAGCCAGGGTATCATCTAGTCTTGAACCCTAGCCAGGGTATCAACGAGTCTTGAACCCTAGCCAGGGTATCAACGAGTCTTGAACCTTAGCCAGGGTATCAACGAGTCTTGAACCCTAGCCAGGGTATCAACTAGTCTTGAACCCTAGCCTGGGTATCAACTAGTCTTGAACCCTAGCCAGGGTATCAACTAGTCTTGAACCCTAGCCAGGGTATCAACTAGTCTTGAACCCTAGCCAGGGTATCAACTAGTCTTGAATCCTAGCCAGGGTATCAACTAGTCTTGAACCCTAGCCAGGGTATCAACTAGTCTTGAACCCTAGCCAGGGTATCACCTAGTCTTGAACCCTAGCCAGGGTATCAACTAGTCTTGAACCCTAGCCAGGGTATCAACTAGTCTTGAACCCTAGCCAGGTTATCAACTAGTCTTGAACCCTAGCCAGGGTATCAACGAATCTTGAACCCTAGCCAGGGTATCAACGAGTCTTGAACCCTAGCCAGGGTATCAACGAGTCTTGAACCCTAGCCAGGGTATCAACGAGTCTTGAACCCTGGCCATGGTATCAACTAGTCTTGAACCCTAGCCAGGGTATCAACTAGTCTTGAACCCTAGCCAGAGTATCAACGAGTCTTGAACCCTAGCCTGGGTATCAACTAGTCTTGAACCCTAGCCAGGGTATCAACGAGTCTTGAACCCTAGCCTAGGTATCAACTAGTCTTGAACCCTAGTCAGGGTATCAACGAGTCTTGAACCCTAGCCTGGGCATGAACTAGTCTTGAACCTTAGCCAGGGTATTAACGAGTCTTGAACCCTAGCCTGGGTATCAACTAGTCTTGAACCCTAGCCAGGGTATCTAGTCTTGAACCCTAGCCAGGGTATCAACGAGTCTTGAACCCTAGCTTGGGTATCAACTAGTCTTGAGCCCTAGCCTGCGTATCAACTAGTCTTGAACCCTAGCCAGGGTATCATCTAGTCTTGAACCCTAGCCAGGGTATCAACGAGTCTTGAACCTTAGCCAGGGTATCAACGAGTCTTGAACCCTAGCCAGGGTATCAACTAGTCTTGAACCCTAGCCTGGGTATCAACTAGTCTTGAACCCTAGCCAGGGTATCAACTAGTCTTGAACCCTAGCCAGGGTATCAACTAGTCTTGAACCCTAGCCAGGGTATCAACTAGTCTTGATCCTAGCCAGGGTATCAACTAGTCTTGAACCCTAGCCAGGGTTCAACTAGTCTTGAACCCTAGCCAGGGTATCACCTAGTCTTGAACCCTAGCCAGGGTATCAACTAGTCTTGAACCCTAGCCAGGGTATCAACTAGTCTTGAACCCTAGCCAGGGTATCAACTAGTCTTGAACCCTAGCCAGGGTATCAACTAGTCTTGAACCCTAGCCAGGGTATCAACTAGTCTTGAACCCTAGCCAGGGTATCAACTAGTCTTGAACCCTAGCCAGGGTATCAACTAGTCTTGAACCCTAGCCAGGGTATCAACTAGTCTTGAACCCTAGCCAGGGTATCAACTAGTCTTGAACCCTAGCCAGGGTATCAACTAGTCTTGAACCTAGCCAGGGTATCAACTAGTCTTGAACCCTAGCCAGGGTATCACCTAGTCTTGAACCCTAGCCAGGGTATCACCTAGTCTTGAACCCTAGCCAGGGTATCACCTAGTCTTGAACCCTAGCCAGGGTATCAACTAGTCTTGAACCCTAGCCAGGGTATCAACTAGTCTTGAACCCTAGCCAGGGTATCAACTAGTCTTGAACCCTAGCCAGGGTATCAACTAGTCTTGAACCCTCGGTTCAACTAGTCTTGAACCTAGCCAGGGTTTAACTAGTCTTGAACCCTAGCCAGGGTATCAACTAGTCTTGAACGCTAACCTGGGTATCAACTAGTCTTGAACCCTAGCCAGGGTATCAACTAGTCTTGAACCCTAACCAGGGTATCAACTAGTCTTGAACCCTAGCCAGGGTATCAACGAGTCTTGAACCCTAGCCTGGGTATCAACTAGTCTTGAAGCCTAGCCAGGGTATCAACTAGTCTTGAACCCTAGCCAGGGTATCAACTAGTCTTGAACCCTAGCCAGGGTATCAACTAGTCTTGAACCCTAGCCTGGGTATCAACTAGTCTTGAACCCTAGCCTGGGTATCAACTAGTCTTGAACCCTAGCCAGGGTATCAACTAGTTTTGAACCCTAGCCTGGGTATCAACTAGTCTTGAACCCTAGCCAGGGTCTCAGCTAGTCTTGAACCCTAGCCAGGGTATCAACTAGTCTTGAACCCTAGCCTGGGTATCAACTAGTCTTGAACCCTAGCCAGGGTATCAACTAGTCTTGAACCCTAACCTGGGTATCAACTAGTCTTGAACCCTAGCCTGGGTATCAACTAGTCTTGAACCCTAGCCAGGGTATCAACTAGTCTTGAACCCTAGCCAGGGTATCAACTAGTTTTGAACCCTAGCCTGGGTATCAACTAGTCTTGAACCCTAGCCAGGGTATCAACTAGTTTTGAACCCTAGCCTGGGTATCAACTAGTCTTGAACCCTAGCCAGGGTCTCAGCTAGTCTTGAACCCTAGCCAGGGTATCAACTAGTCTTGAACCCTAGCCTGGGTATCAACTAGTCTTGAACCCTAGCCAGGGTATCAACTAGTCTTGAACCCTAGCCAGGGTATCAACTAGTCTTGAACCCTAGCCAGGGTATCAACTAGTCTTGAACCCTAGCCAGGGTCTCAGCTAGTCTTGAACCCTAGCCAGGGTATCAACTAGTCTTGAACCCTAGCCAGGGTATCAACTAGTCTTGAACCTAGCCTGGGTATCAACTAGTCTTGAACCCTAGCCAGGGTTTATCAACTAGTCTTGAACCTAGCCAGGGTATCAACTAGTCTTGAACCCTAGCCTGGGTATCAACTAGTCTTGAACCCTAGCCAAGGTCTCAGCTAGTCTTGAACCCTAGCCAGGGTATCAACTAGTCTTGAACCCTAGCCAGGGTATCAACTAGTCTTGAACCCTAGCCAGGGTATCAACTAGTCTTGAACCCTAGCCAGGGTATCAACTAGTCTTGAACCCTAGCCAGGGTATCAACTAGTCTTGAACCCTAGCCAGGGTATCAACTAGTCTTGAACCCTAGCCAGGGTATCAACTAGTCTTGAACCCTAGCCTGGGTATCAACTAGTCTTGAACCCTAGCCAAGGTCTCAGCTAGTCTTGAACCCTAGCCAGGGTATCAACTAGTCTTAAACCCCTAGCCAGGGTATCAACTAGTCTTGAACCCTAGCCAGGGTATCAAATAGTCTTGAACCTAGCCAGGGTATCAACTAGTCTTGAACCCTAGCCAGGGTATCAACTAGTCTTGAACCCTAGCCAGGGTATCAACTAGTCTTGAACCCTAGCCAGGGTATCAACTAGTCTTGAACCCTAGCCAGGGTATCAACTAGTCTTGAACCCTAGCCAGGGTATCAACTAGTCTTGAACCCTAGCCTGGGTGCCGACATAAGCTTTAATATAGCTTTATAGCCTCATGCGACCATTAGCCTCACTCAGAGCTGACTCCTGAAACGAGAATGTAAACAAAAGTGCGACATTAATAACCACAAGACAGACTACCATCCATGGTACATCCTCTCTCTCTCTCTCTCTCTCTCTCTCTCTCTCTCTCTCTCTCTCTCTCTCTCTCTCTCTCTCTCTCTCTCTCTCTCTCTCTCTCTCTCTCTCTCTCTCCATTACTACTACTAATAATAATCTGTATTTCTACAAGCACATGATACAAAGTATACAGACCATAGCTGACATCAGTGACATACTACTATATAGAAAGTCCCTTGTTATGCTGAGCATTTCTGGCAAATTAGGTCAATTTTGTCCCCAGGATGCAGTCCATACCAGTCGACTAACACCCAGGTACCTATTTTACTAAAGGTGAACAGTGACAGCAGGTGTCTTAAGGAAACACGTTCTGTTTCCACCCGCACTGGGGATCGAACATAGCAGTGTTTTCCAGCCTGTGTTTTGCCTTCCAACAGAGAGGTGGGTCGAGGCACGTGAGATGACCACTACTGCACACACCCCCACTGACTCTAGCAAGGACCAGAGCGGCGGTGCTCAGGCTGGCCAGGTGATAGCCTGGGTCTTCACGGGACTGGCACTCTTCCTAGTGATGGTGTTGGCACTGGCACTCTGTGCCAAGATGACCCCCCCACCAGCCCGGACACACTCGGATTTCAGACCTTCTGTGGACATTGTCAGCCAGCGTTACGGAGTGAGTTCCGTCAGTCACAGAGAGGCAGGTGAGGAAGTGTCATACCATGTTGCTACAGTATTATGATACTTACATAGTGGTAACACCTATAGTGTGTTGCAACACTTATTCTCTACGATAGCTACAAAGTGGGAACACCTACAGTGTGTTCCTACACTAGTTTGTATGGTAGTTACATAGTGGGAACACCTACAGTGTATTGCTACACTGTTCTCTATGGCTGTTACACAGCTATGTTTCTCTGTTACATTCCATCAAACAGAATGGATTTCATTGTGCAATGAGGATATGGCTGAGGTTTCCAACTATGGATTCAGTAGCTACGGCAGCTTTAAAGGTTTTCTTCCAGCTCAGCTGAGTACGAAGGTCGTGAGGGAGAGTGAGAGTTGTGAATAGGTGTAAGAAAAGAGAAGGAATTGGGGAGGGGAGGGGGGGAGAGAGAGAGAGAGAGAGAGAGAGAGAGAGAGAGAGAGAGAGAGAGAGAGAGAGAGAGAGAGAAAGAAATTGATCTTTCTATTTGTATCCACAGAAGAGGAGAGTGAACCTGGTTCTCCGGTCTTGACTGTCTCTAGAACCCTTCACCCAGACGACCACTACTCCACCAAGGTTCTCTGAAACCCTCCATTACTACAAGATGCCCAAATATCAACTCCAAAAATCTCAAAAGATCATCAGAATTAGTCAAGTGAAAGGGCAGCATTTTTCAATATTTGTAATTTTACGAGGGAAGCGTTAAACAAGTAGGGATCACCCAGCGCCTGGGAAATGAAGGTAATGAGGTTCGAACCAAGGAAGAGGTGGGCGAGCTACTTCGCCAGCATCAAGAGTCCTTCGCCAGCATCAAGAGTCCTTCGCCAGCATCAAGAGTCCTTCGCCAGCATCAAGAGTCCTTCGCCAGCATCAAGAGTCCTTCGCCAGCATCAAGAGTCCTTCGCCAGCATCAAGAGTCCTTCGCCAGCATCAAGAGTCCTTCGCCAGCATCAAGAGTCCTTCGCCAGCATCAAGAGTCCTTCGCCAGCATCAAGAGTCCTTCGCCAGCATCAAGAGTCCTTCGCCAGCATCAAGAGTCCTTCGCCAGCATCAAGAGTCCTTCGCCAGCATCAAGAGTCCTTCGCCAGCATCAAGAGTCCTTCGCCAGCATCAAGAGTCCTTCGCCAGCATCAAGAGTCCTTCGCCAATCAAGGATAATTTTTCTTAGATTTTGCCGCCGAAGTGGCTAGTTTATTATGCATATATTCATCTTGTGGACGGTAGCGCAAGAACATAAGAAAACGGCCTAGGAACTAGGCTCTAAAGTGTTAACATACACAATAAAAGCCTAGAAGCTAGACCCTAAAGTATTAACATAAACATTGTGATCTTGTTTTCATTATAATCTTTTCATGGTAATCTTGGTCCTCTCCCTCTCGTTCCTCTCTCACAATAAACATAACGCTGAGTGTGCACCAGGGGCTTTGTGAATCAAAATATACTGTTTGTCACTGAGATTTACAACATTCATACAAGTTCCTCCCGGACAAAACTTTTCAAATACCATGAATCACTTACTATGTCGTATTCACAAACCTGCCGGTATATTTTAACACTGGATATACACTTAACAGACGCTGCATGACCCCTGCTGGTTTAGTACTTCCCTGTGACTATAAAATTCGTGTGTTCTCTGTGTTCAAACACAGTGGTGTTCAGTATTAATCCTACATCACACAGTATTCTGGTAAGTCTTCCAGTTTTAAGTTTAAGCTTTCATTCTCTGTACATATTTCTGTATATAAAAAATATAATAAAAATAGTTTTTCTCAGCTTTGCTATTTGTTTATGTTTTAAATGTCAAAGATGAAAATTGATGAATAAAATTATGTTAATATGTATTTCCATTTTTTTGGTAATTAATCCTAACCTGTATATTATCTTGAACCAAAGTATAGGATGAACTTGTCATCTTATTTTGGGTGATAACTTTCACAAACAGAAATTTGGAATGGCTATGGGATCACCTCTCAGCGCAGTTTAAGCCAGCACCTATTTAGTACCCCTTGAGAAGGATCATTTAAAATATCCTACCACACAGCATTTGGTTTAGATATGTACATATGTTGGTCATTGTTCCCCAGACGTTTCACCTTCACTGTTCAGAGACTCAACACGACTGAGCTCTTCATACAGTTCACACTAGAAGAGAAGCTCTTCAAGTAAGTTTATTCAGGTACAGGTACACATAAATATAGTTACATAAATTATCATACATAGCAGCATATGTTCAGATTACCTAGGATGACCCAAAAAAAGTTATTTCCATTAGCGTCCTTACTTATTTCCACTTACTCCCAATCATCAAGGATGGAGATATCCTTTAATACTAAGTACAAAGAAACTCACCTATAAGAATGACCTAGTACGTACCTAGTACTTCTTCCACCACTGAGGGACCCGAATTAGGTATCTACGTGGTTATTAACTGTTGTGGGTCGCATCCTGGGAGGGAGGATTAAAGCACTCCAATGGAAATAAGCCAGAACGCCTGACGACAGTGGCTTTGTTTTATTCTGGGTTACTAACCCTCCGAGGATATTCCCTTGCTACCAGTGTATGTCCAAGATGCGCCGCCGTGTTTAGGTAAACAACACCTCACTGTAGAGATGAAAGTCACAACAACGTGATTGAAACAATTCACCAGAAACCCTCAAGAACCACAATGAAAACAAGGACCCCACTGGAAATAAATCAAGGATCCTCAATGGAAGTAAGTCAAGAACCCCAATGGAAATAAATCACTGACTGTTATTCCTGGTAAGTAATCTACACACATTCTGCTATGTATGATAATTTATTTAACTGTATTTTTGTTTACCTGTACCTGAATAAACTTACTTACGCTCAATTAGGAAAGGAACCTTGTGCGATGTTTAGGTCTCTCCTGGATCACGGCCAAGTTACAACTTGACCAGTTGTAACTTGGCAATGGTCGTCAAAAGCTTCCTTTCCCAAGTACAAGTTTTTGATAACCACCTTCCTGAGACGTAGCATCCTCGATTCTTGGGACGAGAACTGAAGGAATCAGAGAGATAAGCTACCCTGACTGACTTCGTTGAGCTGTCCTGGCTTAATAACCTTGGGCTGGTTACTGGTGGATTAATGGGGATTAATGGATTAAACCCTATTGACAACACAAGTGTTGTTAAGGTTGGACGTACCTTTTTTACCACCAGACAAGAATGCTTTAATGCGTAGCTCGATCGATAGCACACTCGGCTCACACGCTGTGGTCCGGGGGTCGATCCCCGGTACGGGTGAAAACATTAAGAAGTGTTTCCTTAAGATACCTGCTGTGCAATGTTTACCCATCGATAAAATAGGTACCTGGGTGTTAACTGACTAGTGTAGGTCACATCCTTGGGACAAAATTGACCTAATTTGCCCGAAATGCTCTGCATAACAAGGGGCTTTCTGTACAGTAGTACGTCATTGATGTCCGCTGGACCTATATATCTTGTACATGCACGTGTAGATATAAAGATTAATTATTACTACTACTACTAAGTTAAAAGTAGGTAAGACACATATGCAACAGTTAGACAACTTTATTCCGAAACGTTTCGCCTACACAGTAGGCTTCTTCAGTCGAATACAGAAAGTAGGCAGGAACAGTAGAGATGTGAAGAAAGTAGGCAGGAACAGTAGAGATGTGAAGACGATGTGAAGACTACTACTACTACTACCCTGCACCTCTCCTTCCGACAGTATTTAAGTCTCCGCACTGTCGCTTGATCTTCAGATAGTTCCTGACTATGGAACTGAACTTCTCCAGGCCGAGGGACTGACAACCTCAAATTCTACGACTTCAAGGGTGATGGACTGATTACATCGTCTTCACATCTCTACTGTTCCTGCCTACTTTCTGTATTCGACTGAAGAAGCCTACTGTGTAGGCTTCTTCAGTCATTCTCCTCCTGTTCTTCAAGATTCTCCTTTGTATGGACTGATGAAGCCACTGTGTGGCGAAACGTTTCCTCAATAAAGATACCCAAGAGTTGCACATGTGTCTAATTTATCAACATGTCGGTTCTTTGAACCATTCATCTACAAACTTGTCTAACTTGCATATGTGTCTTACCTAACAACCTGTCGGTATTGTATACCATTTTGATGTTCATCTTGTCAGACACTGCAACACATGGCATCTTGGTACAGAAAACATCTTGGACAAGCTTTTCAAGTGAGAAGTGTTGGATTTGAGAGGGACATGACCTCTCAGTGGCCTCTCACTACTACTACTACTACTACTACTACTACTACTACCCTGCACCTCTCCTTCCGACAGTATTTAAGTCTCCGCACTGTCGCTTGATCTTCAGATAGTTCCTGACTATGGAACTGAACTTCTCCAGGCCGAGGGACTGACAACCTCAAATTCTACGACTTCAAGGGTGATGGACTGATTACATCGTCTTCACATCTCTACTGTTCCTGCCTACTTTCTGTATTCGACTGAAGAAGCCTACTGTGTAGGCGAAACGTTTCGGAATAAAGTTGTCTAACTGTTGCATATGTGTCTTACCTAACAACCTGTCGGTATTGTATACCATTTTGATGTTCAAGTTAAAAGTAAATGAGGGTTATAATAGCTACCCCAATTTGTAGAAGAAAATAGACATAATATTCATTCATAGAAAACAGATTTATTGGTTAACTAAATAAAACGCAAAAGATGAATATAATGGCTATTACTAAGGAAAGAATCTAAGTTTATTGAAATAAATTACATAATTTTAGCTGCTTACAATTGTCTCACGTGGTAACGTGTATAAATTATTTATGATAACTCTAAAAAAAAAGTTACAGTGGCTAATTTCCATTGTGGAAGTAAAGTTTCTTCATAGTAATAATAATCTTAATTTCTACAGACCCAGTTGACATAACATTACACAAATAACCCGCCCATAAGAGAGAGAAGCTTACTACGACGTTTCGGTCCGACTTGAACCATTTACAAAGTCTGTGTGACTTTGTAAATGGTCCGAGTCTGACCGAAACGTCGTCGTGCGGGTTATTTGTGTATTGTTCCAGTCACGGTCTTGTGCCTATTCGTTATTTATTTTTTTTTTTATTCGCCGGTATTCTATTTACTGACATAAGATGTATACATTACGTAGGATAACCGAAGAAAGTTCAGCAAAGTGACTTATTTATATTAGGTCCTTGACTTATTTCCATTGCCGTGCACAAAGACCTACGATATTAATGAATTTTTATCTCGGGGAAAAAATCATATAATGTTGGAGAAGAGCAGAGCGCATGAGCTGGGAAGATAGTGGGCTAAGTTGCCCTGAATAAAGCTCATCTTAAGACAAGACACTTCAGCCGCCTCTGCCACAATAAAAAAGTTACCCAGCCAAACACAAGAAAACGAAAATTAAAGCGCTTTCATAGAAAACAATGAGGGGGTAACAAAAACAATCAACAAAAAACACTGAGATAATAATAATAATAATAATAATAATATAATAATAATAATAATAATAATAATAATAATAATAATAATTTCTGCACGTACATGATATAGACCTAGCCGACATCAATGAAGTCCCCGACTATGATCCATATATAATATTAACGGGTCATCTATATGATTAAGACTCGTGTCCGGAAACACTTTCCCGATTTCCTGACGAATAAAACAACCCTGGTTAAGCAAAGCATTTCTGGTAACTTATGTTACTCTTGTCCCCCGGGATGCTACCCACAACAGTAGACTAACACCCAAGTACCTACTTACTGCTAGGGAAACAGGGGCAACAGGTGAAAGGAAACATATCTCGTAGCTGGATCGCTAGCGCACTCAGCTCACACACACTGAGCTCCGTGGTTCGATCCCCGGTACTGGTGACAACATTAGGACGTGTTTCCTTAAGATACCTGATCTCCCTGTTCACCTAGCAATAAAATGGGCACCTGGGTGTTAGTCAACTGGTGTTTACCTGGAGTTTACCTGGAGAGAGTTCCGGGGGTCAACGCCCCCGCGGCCCGGCCTGTGACCCTGACTCCTGGTGGATCAGAGCAAACCAACGTACGAGCCACAGCCCGGCTGGTCAGGAACCGACTTTAGGTGCTTGTCCAGTGCCAGCTTGAAGACTGCCAGGGGTCTGTTGGTAATCCCCCTTATGTATGCTGGGAGGCAGTTGAACAGTCTCGGGCCCCTGACACTTATTGTATGGTCTCTTAACGTGCTAGTGACACCCCTGCTTTTCATTGGGGGGATGGTGCATCGTCTGCCAAGTCTTTTGCTTTCGTAGTGAGTGATTTTCGTGTGCAAGTTCGGTACTAGTCCCTCTAGGATTTTCCAGGTGTATATAATCATGTATCTCTCCCTCCTGCATTCCAGGGAATACAGGTTCAGGAACCTCAAGCGCTCCCAGTAATTGAGGTGTTTTATCTCCGTTATGCGCGCCGTGAAGGTTCTCTGTACATTTTCTAGGTCAGCAATTTCACCTGCCTTGAAAGGTGCTGTTAGTGTGCAGCAATATTCCAGCCTAGATAGAACAAGTGACCTGAAGAGTGTCATCATGGGCTTGGCCTCCCTAGTGGGTGTGGGTCGCATCCTGGGACAAAATTGACCTAATTTGCCCGAAATGATCTGCACAACAAGGGGACTTTCTATATAGTAGTATATCATTATGTCAGCTATGGTCTGTTTAAGATGTATCATATACTTGTAGAAATAAAGATTGTCTATTTCCACTGGGATCATGTGATCCTCTCCCCCAGGATGCCCCCAGTCGACTAACTCTCAGATACCTACTTTTCGCTAGGTGAACAGGGGCAGCAGGTGTAAGGAAACATACCCAACTTTTTCTTACCTGCTGGGAGTCGA